ACCTGGCTTTGAACACTGCCAGGCTTGGGGCAGCCACAGCCTCCCTGGGCAACCTGTGCCAGGGTGTCATCACCCTCATAGGCAAAACTTCTGCCTAAGATCTCATCTACATTTCCTTCTTGCAATTTATCCCCATTGTTCCTTGTCCTGTCACTCCAGTTCCTAACACAGAGTTAGGAGAGGGGTCCAGCTTCCCTGGAGCCCCTTCAGCTCCTGGCAGGTTGTTCTGAGGTCTCCACACAACCTTCTCTTCTCCAGGCTGAGCAGCCCCAACTTTCTCAGTTTGTCCTCGTGGGAAAGGTGCTCCAGTGCTCTCATCAGCTTCGTGGCCTCCTCTGGCCTTGCTCCAACAGTTCCATGTCCTTCTGATGTTGGGGACAAACATATTTCTGGCATCAATGACATAAGAAGAAAATTGACTGCCTTGCACAGTGAGAAAGCATCATGAGATGGGGAACCGTCAGCAAGATCCTGAGCCCTGCTGGGTAAATCCCACTTAATTCAGTGACAAATACATCTAGGAATACCTGAAAGAGCTGTGCCACCCCAGCCAAGCACCAAGCAGAAGTGCAACTGCCTTCATTTGAGCTCACTCCCTCCCCTCCCCAACACCAGAGCTTGCCCTTTGCCTCTTCCAAGATCCTACAGGAGTTGCTGCTCTGCACTGCATCTCCTGCTCCAATATTTGTCATTCAAATGGCCTTTTAATGCCTGTAAACACAGAAATTGGCATCTGGACAGCAGGAAATCTAGGAAATTAGCACAAGGGACTCTTCTGGGCTTGTGGCCAACACACAGTCCTAGGAGCCACTGAAAGCACAGCAGAGTTAAGCTCTAGAAAGCAGGAAGAGTGTCACTGGGTTGGCAGAATGTGACTCCCAGTCCATTCACAAGTGACAGTAATGTGCCTGTCTGCTTTGTGCTATCCACAGGGAGCTCCAGAGCTCCTGGGAGAGGGATTTGGGCATGCTCAGCTCTGCTCAGTTAATGTGGGGAGATGCCACAATCTGCAGCTGCTCTTTTTCTTCTATTCTCCTTTCTTTCAGGTTCCTCCTGCCTTTTACCTGGCTTTGAACACTGCCAGGCTTGGGGCAGCCACAGCCTCCCTGGGCAACCTGTGCCAGTGTCTCATCACAATCACAGGGAAAACTTCTGCCTAAGATGTCATCTCAATTTCCACCTTGCAATTTCTCCCCATTGCTCATTGTGCTGTCCCTGCAGTTCCTACCCAAGAGCAGCTTCCCTGGAGCCCCTTCAGCTCCTGGCAGGTTGCTCTGAGGTCTCCACACAACCTTCAAGGCAAGGTTGGGACTCTGTTGAAAGTGTGTGGCATCACCAAAGGCACAGTGTGGTGTGGATGAAGACAGTCATGGCATCACAGAATCTCCTGAGCTGGAAGGGACCCACAAGGATCATCAGTCCAACTCCTGCCCTGCACAGGACACCTCAACAATCCCACCCTGTGCCTGAGAGTGTTGTCCAAATACTCCTTGAGCTCTGGCATGTTTGGGGCTGTTTTGTGTCCCTTTCCAACACAACTGTGTGACCCACATAACCTGCCCAGCCCAGAGTCGTGAGGAGGAACAGGTGGGACACAGAGTTAGGAGAGAGCTTCCCTGGAGCCCCTTCAGCTCCTGGCAGGTTGCTCTGATGTCTCCACACAACCTTCTCTTCTCCAGGCTCAACAGCCCCAACTCTCTCAGCCTGTCCTTGTAGGGAAGGTGCTCCAGTGCTCTGAGCAGCTTTGTGGCCTCCTCTGGCCTTGCTGCAATACTTCCATGTCCTTCTGCTGTTGGGGCCAGCAGAGCTGTGTGCAGGACTCCAAGTGGGTCTCAGTAGAGCAGAATAGAGGGGGAGAATCCCCTCCTTCCACCTCCACATCCCTTGAGCTTTCAGCATCCCCCACCCCTTGCAGATGACAAGTATTTAGGAAAAAGAACTCTTTATTTGATAGGTTTTTGTTTTGTATACTTGTACACAAGTAAAATAAAATGCATATCTATATATACTGCAACCTTGTGAAGGAGGAGGCAGCATTCTTTAACAAATGCTGCCAGTAAACATGGTGTGATGGAATGGAGACAGAAAAAACTGCAAGATTTATCAACATAGGAGGAAAACAGCATCAAATCCATTACCTCTGCAAATGGCAACCTGCAAGATTGGTCAGTGTGATGGCAAGTTACAACCAGATTTTAAGACATTCTTTTCAGAGCATTTCTTACACTTGTTTTGTTTTTTGTTTGTTTTTTTTTTTTTTAGCCTGGAAATCACCCAGATTTCTTTCCCATCTGCTGGAGCAAAAGCTGCTTTGGGAGCAAGTGCAGTTCCAAAGACCATAAAGGTATAATTCACAGGTTTCAGGACAAATAAATTATGTACATCTCAAGATTTGTCTGGTTTGTGTCTGGGGTTTTTTTTGTCATTAAGAAAGGCATCCAGTTAACTTTTGGGTCCCAAAAGCTCTCTCAGGGTGGTTGGGAGTTCTGCTTGTGGTTTGTTTCTGGAGGTCAGCAAAAAGTCGAGTAGGAAAGTGTCATCAACCCAAGGAAAGAGTTAATTTTAGCACAAGAACAGTAAGCTCCACACCAAGGGAGGGATGCAAAGGCTTAGGCTGAGCTGTAACGTGGAGCTGCTGCTCCCTTGCTGGGTGAGGCGGCACTGAGCCTTTGACCTGTTCTTTTTGGAGCAGCTCTGCCTCTTTTTGGTTGGGACTGTGGAAGGTTCAATAGGCTCTAGAAACTCAGGTTTCAACTTGGTCAATGGAGGCTCTACAATGCTGGGGAAGGTCCCAAAAGGGGAATCATTTATCTGCTTGTTGCTGCCATTTTTGGAAGGGTCTGGCTCAACGTACTTGGGTTTGGACATGTTCTCCTTCTCCTTGAGGTGGTTGTTGGATGAGCGACTGCTGTGGGAAGAAGGCCCTGACTTGCCTTTAGCTTCATAAATAAAAGACTTATCCATTTCTGGTTGGCAGCACTTGGAGGATCCATCATGAGAACCCAGAGGGGGAAGCCCAGTTGGGAGTTTCCCAGATCTGGTTTTAGTGCTAAAAACACTTGTTCGTATCTGGTTGAAGGGGTCAACACATCCTTCCAAGTCAGAGCTCTGCAGCCTTTTGAGGTCTTTCCCTGCCAAACGAGGGGGAAGGTGACACTCCAGCTCTGAGGAGGATCCTTTAAACTGTTTAAACCAATTCCAGAGAGACCTAGCCTGGCAGTCACAGATCCACTGGTTCCCATTGAGGCGCAGGTACTGGAGGGACACCAAGGGAGCCATGGTCTCCCCTGTGAGCACTGTCAGGTTGTTGTTAAACAGATACAAGGTCATCACCTTCCCAAGGTCATGAAAAGCCCTTCTGTGGACCAGGCTGACCCTGTTCTGGTGCAGGAGCAGCCGGTCCAGGTTGATCAACCCACGAAAGACGTTCTCAGACAAGCTCTTGATTTTGTTGCCATGCAAAAACAAGTAGGTGAGGTTTGCCAGATCTATGAAGGTGTCATCCAGCAGGATCTGAAGATTATTATCCTGAAGGTAGAGATACTGCAAGGAGAACAACCCTCGAAAAAGCCCAGTGGAGAGCTCCAGGAGCCCACAACGATCCAGGTGTAAGGTGTGGAGGTGAACAAGCCCCCTGAAGGTCACAGGGTTGATAGATTTCAGGTTCATGTTGTCACTGAGATCTAATTCCTCCAGTTTGGTGAGCCCATAGAAGGCTCCAGGTTCGATGAGGCTGATGTTGTTGGAGTGGATCCAAAGGATGCTCATGTTGCGGCAGGAGGTGAAGCTGGTGGATCTCACCAGGGTTATCCTGTTGTTGTGCAGGAAGATGCGCTGGCTCTGGATGGGGATCTCTGTGGGGATTGCTGTCAGGCCTTGCTGCTGACAACTGATGGTGATCTTGGGTTCACTGTAGCATACACAGGCCCCGGGGCAAGACTCCACTTGGGACTGGATGTTCAAGCAAAGCACCAAAATCAGCAGTTTGCTTCCTAGAGGAGAACAAAAATAGGATGCAAATTAGGCAGGGGCATGGCTGAGTGAGTCTTCTTGCTCTCATCTTCTAAGACATGAGCCTGAAAATCACCTTTCTAATCACCTCTAACCACAACCAACATATGTCAAACAATTAAAATGCACAATTAAACCTGTTTCACCACTCAACAACTGCAATCAATAAACACTTGCTGAGCACCTCCTCATCCTCCCACACTGGGGAGGCCTCTCATTCCAGTGGCCAAAGAGAGGGTTCATCCTTAAGGATTTGCATGGTGGGGCATGGAAGTGCATCCAACCAAGCCTTGTTCCAAAAGCTTACCTGGGAGCAAAGGGATTGCTTCTGGGGTTATGTCTCTCTGCCTCAGGCACAGTCCAGGCTGTGGTAAAGCACCTGGCCAGCTATGGATGACACCACAGGGTAGGACCAGGCAATTCCAAGGCCTATCCCAGCAGTGCCATCAGCTTCTTGCTCTTCAGGACCATGGAACAACTCTCCAACCCAAGCATTTGTCCCCACATTGCTCTCAAAACCCAATTGTGACTTTCCATGGACAATTTCAGCCTGATCTGGTCTTCCTGGAAGAAATAACTGGGAGAGATTCCCAGAATAACTGGGAATCATGCCTCAAATTCAGGTCAGACCTGCCCGTAGAGGTCTTGGGGCCAAGATCATCCTTTCCTTCTCTTGGTCAAAGCTTTAAGCCACATACTGTTGCTTCCCTTCTTCTCTCCCATGTTTTTTCCCCTTTGAATCCATGCAGCCACCAAGGGAGAGGAAGGAACAGCTTGTTTTTCCACAGAGGACACTGCTTGATTCAGGGATTCCACAAGGTTTGCAAGACAGGCGAAGATTCCAAGTGTCCCAAGCACGCAGCTAGGGAGAAATGTTCTCCTCCCAGGATTTAAGAGCCCTTGAGAGGACCAGTTTTCCACCCACTTCCCCAGGAGCTGGGATGCACTGGAATCCCAAGGAAGCAGTTTGATCCCAGCTGGAACGGTGGGAAAGAGCCCAGAGGATGGCAAGGGATGGGCAGAGCATCATCTTCTGCCAGGGGACCTGGGAGGGAGGGTCAGGGTGAACCTCCAGCTGAGAGATCTGCTGTTTCCTCCCCACTGTGGGGGAGAAGAGAAGCAATTCCAGCAGTGTTTTACCAGCAATTAGCAGCAAGTAATTAGGCTGTTTCCTCCTAAACCACATCCGAGCTAAAATGAATGGGCAGGAGGAGAGCAGCAGGAGGTTCCCCTAGGGAATTAGCACGTGTGAGTAGGGACATGTGGGTCTCCTTCCCAGCACCTCTGGAAAAAAGGCAAGTTCCTCCCTCCTGGGAGCTCCAGGGACAACAGTAGCTTTGCATCTCTGCTGTTGTGGAAGGGTTTTTCCTTCCTTGAAACACTGCAAATATCCTTGAGGCATGTTGATGCTTCATTACACCATCAGGTGAAAGAGCAGAGTTGCAAAAGTCAGGTGGAAAAACACAACGATGTGGAATGGGATGAACTGGGGAGACTGGAGAGAAAGCACAGTCACATCCAGCCCCGTGGGAGAGTGTCTGGAGACACTTCACTCCGAGCCTGAGAGGTGATTGTGTGGCTAATGAAATCACAGCAGCCAAGTAGCAACTTCAAAGCCCAACTAAAGGATTCAATCACACGGAAATCTCTCCCCAAACTGTTTACAGAAGCAATAACAAAGGGAAAAGCTGAAGGTGGGGGGCGGGAAGTGCCTTTTTTGCAGTAAGATCCAAGGTTTGGCTTTGAGTCTAGTCAAAATAATTCACTGTGTGTGGCTAATAAATCTGTTGTGATCCAACAGTCCAATATAGGCAGGAGAATCCTATATATCATATTCCACATGGGAGGAAAATAACAGCTCAGCATGCAGAGATAATTTGAGCCTGATATTATTAGCTGCTGAGCAAGCCTGGAAGGCAGAGTGTTGAGTGCAGTATTGTGACACATTCTGGCTGCCTTGTCATGTTTTGACATGTCACATCCCATTGTATGAAGCAAAGGAACAGGAGACAAGTGCAATACCCTGCTGGAGACATGTCCCACCCAGAGAAGCCTCCTGGGAAATTAAAACACTGCTGGTTACTCTCTGACCAGAACAAATCCTCTCCAGATGCTAAGGAAAAGCTGTAGGCAGAGAAATAGGACTATCTGGAGCCTCCTTCTTCAGTTTCTCCAGTCAAGGTGGCACTGGAGCAATAGAATTCAGAGAATCACAGACTCAGGCTGGAAGGCACCACAGTGGGTCACCTGGTCCCACCTCCTTGCTCAAGCAGGGTCAGCCCAGAGCACAGGATTTGCAAACAAATGGTTCTGGGATATCTCCAGTGAGGAGAATCCACACCCTCTCTGGGCAATCTGTTCAGTGCTTGGTCACTGCACAGGACAGAGGTTCTTCCCCATGCTCAGGTGGAACTTTCTGAGCATCAGCTCCTCATCAGTGAGGTGCTCCAGTCCCTTCAGCATCTTTGTCACCTTCCTCTGGACCTGCTCCAGGAGCTCCATGCCTCTCTGGCCCTGAGGAGCCCAGAACAGGACACAGCACTCCAGCTGTGCCTCCCCAGGGCTGAGCAGAGGGACAGGATCACCTCCCTGACCTGCTGGCAATGCTCTTCCTAATGCAGCCCAGGATTTCATTGGCTTTCCTGGCCCCCAGGGCACAGTGCTGGGCAGGGACAGCTTGTTATCCCCCAGGATGCCCAAGGCCTTCTCCCCAGAACTGCTCTCCAGCAGGTCAGTGCCAACCTGTGCTGGTGCTTGGGGTTGTTCGTCCCCACATGCAGGACCTGCACTTGCCCTTGTTGAATTTCAGATGGTTCTACTCTGCACATCTCTAACCTGTCGAGGTCAATCTCACTCACAGGTGTTGATTCACCTCACTACACAACACCATCCACTCAGGGAAAACAGTGCTCAAACTGGGACACCACTGCAGACTTCATGCTCTTCCCAGATGCTAAGGAAAACATGTAGGCAGAGAAACAGAATCTTCTGGAGCCTCTTTCTTCCATTTCCTCATTCAGATGATGGGGCCAGGGTGGCATCAGAGCAGTGGCGTTCACCTTGCTAGCAACATCCCCCACTCCAGCAAACAGCACTGGGACTGGGACACCACTGCAGGCTCCACACTCTCCTCAGCTGCTCCTCCCTGCCAGGGGCTACCTGGAGAAAAACCCACCCACAACCTGGATACATCCCACATGCCTTAGAAATACATAACACAGTGGAGGGAATGCAAAGAGCCAATCCTGTGTGAGAGAATGGCAATGCCAACACTCCTGTTCCAGCTCCAGCCAGGGGAGGCAAGTGCATAATAAAGACATGGGGAGAGAAGGAGAGAACATGAAGCAGAGAATGAGCCATGAATGTGAACATCACCCCGTCCTGTGCCACCCTATCCTGACAGCTCCTGCACCCTCTGGATCACTTGTATCCTGAGTGTGCACCACCAGCCCCTTCCTAGGTCCTGGCAGTGAGATCCTGTCCCAGATCCCAGGTGGAGGCACAGAGCTTCTCCCCAGCCCAGAGCAGCAGAAGGGAAGGAACAAATCCTGCTCTGCTCTGAGCCTTTCCTCTCCTGCTGCTGCTGCTGTGAGCAGTGAGTCAGTGGCTCAGAGAGCTGCCTGCCAGCTGAGCAGCACAGGGAAATTAATTACAGGCAGGCCTAGCCTGTGTGCTTTAATTAGGAACCTGGTGTTCATGAGCTGCTCGGATTAGCTCCTTCCACCAGAGACATTTCCTGTCAATCAGCCCCCAAAGCCTTTTGCCAGTTAGGTTCCTGCTGTGCAGCTCAAGCCTGTCCTGCCTGATCCATGACAAACTCAACACCCAGCAGCTGGCACAGGGGCCCCAGTGCAGGGTCCATGCAGCACAGGGCCAGGAGGAAGCACAGCAGTGGGTGACAGCTGTGGGATGGCAAGGTGACCCTTTCCTCCCCAGCCAGACTGTGGCAGAGACCAGAGGGACCATGGCTTGGCTCTTCCCTTCTCCTCCAAGGACATTCCCCAGCACTGCTGTTCAACCAGTAACTATATCTCAGGCCACAGTGGTCACCAAGTGCCAGGAGCCATCCAGAATCTGCACCAGACCTGACCAGACCCCCCCACCATCACTGACTGGCCCCAGACCCTGCACCACCACTGACTGGTCCCAAATCCTCCACTGCCCAGTGACTGGCCCCAGACCTTTCACCACCACTGACACCGGACCCTCCACCACCACTGAGTGCACCAGAGCCTCCACTGGTCAGCTCCATGTCCACGAGCTATTGCTGGAGCCCTGAGTCTCAGCTCACACCTCTGCCTTGTGTGGGATGAATCCCAGCTGCAAAAAATAGGCAGTTAATTCCCTGTGAGACACCCTTGCAGGGCTGCAACACCAAGGTGGGTGCTCACAGCTCCTTTGTGAGACATGTGCTGTGCCTGCAGCTGGAGCTGGGTGGGATAAACCAGCAACAAGCAGCAGTGTTTAGGCACCTGAATCCCACCCCTAACTGCTGTAGGTACAGCCTTTGATCCCACATCCTCTGGGATTGCACCAGACCCTTCACTTCCACTGCCCACTGACTGGCACCAGACCCTCCACCACCAGCAGGACTCTTCCACCTGCAGGGCCCAACCTCAGTGCCCATCTCTGAGAGAAAAAGCTCTTGGCATGACACCTATCCCCTCATCTCTCAGTGGAGGAACCATCCTTCCCTCTTGCACAACATGATTAAATCTTAACTAGCTAGTTCCTGTCAAAAGCACAAGCTGAAAGCAAATCCACTACCTGGAACCTTCAGTCCTGCAAGACTTTGGCTTTGAGTTTAGCATTTGTTCCTCCAGAGCTTTCTTAAAAAGCCAGAAAGCTCATTCAGTCAAACTTCAGCTTTTCCCCTTTGCCATCTCACAAGTGTTATGACTCATGGCACTGGGAAGCAATTAAAGTGGGTCCATTATCTGTCTTTCCTCCAATCCCTTGTGCCATCCTGTTGTCAAACGTG